GTGTGTAGTACACGCAAGGTGAATTTGACCGCACTACACAATAACGCGTCTATGTGTGTATAATATTATAGTATATTATACGACCTGCTGCTACAGTTGTACCAAGCGCGACACACAACTGAATATGCATCCACTACGACATACTATACATAATAATATTATTATGTATGAATAGTATATAATATTATTATATATTTATGCATAATGGAATCGCTCCCGTGTTCCTCATGCCTTATAGTGTTCTACGGTTATACCGCGATAACGGACAGGTACCAGCCACCGCCGTCCGCCGCCGCAGGTTAATCGAAATATTATCCCGAACATTTTTGTAGTGCATAATATACTATTATTATTACTATCGCTATCTTCAATAATATATTATAATATTAATATGGCCCGTGTCGCGTATTGCTGTTATTGGATAAAATCAATGGTCTAGACTGAAAAATTACATCCAATTTAAACAATTAATTTTGTTTCGATCGCCGCGAATTCCCCGCGAATTGACTTTTTACATTTTTTAGAAAGTTGAAATTACACTGCCATATTAATTATGCAATGTCGGAGAATTCGCACTTCACGCATACGCGGTGGAATTTTTTAATTGGAACACTTTTTTGAAGTATAAAAATTATCGCTCGTGTTTATTAGTAGAATTATTAGTAGAATTTGCTGTATAATATTATCAGTGTATTAAATTGTAGTTTGCGTTTCAACAAAAAATACCATTTAAAACATATCCTATACTTTACTTTTTTTAAATAAAAATATTTTAACTATCCATGTTTTTACTATAGTAATTTATCTATAGAAAAAAACTAATATAGGTCGTTTAGAAAATAAAATATCAGATATGAAGTATTACAGAGGTGGACGTTAAAACTAAAATAATAAACAAAATCATATTTTTTGTTATTCATACTTCATACATAGTAGTATATAATAGTGTATACATATACACATTGACCATGTTATGTTATTTGAAAAGCATTTCTAATAACAATTACGAACAAATTTCATAATTTTGTATTTATATTTTATGGTTCATGTATTTGTTAGGTTTTAATAAAAAAAAAAACAATCTTAAAAATGTTTTCTAAATAATCATACAATTATAATTATTATTAGTTATTATTTATTAGACTATAATAGCCTACTTATTTTATAACTTTTTAACTTTTTTCGCTTTACTCTTGATAAAAATCAATTAATAAATGCTTTGAAAACTTGTTTTTTTATAAAATATATATTTAAATAATAAGTAATGCATAATGATTTATAGGTATACAAATTTAACTAAATTTGATGCATGTGAAAATTGTATGCGTCATTGTACATTTCTAGAACATAATTCATTAAGTCATAAGTTTATTAAAAGCTGAATTACAAAAAAATGATACTAACAACTAATAAGTAATGACCAATAAGACTAAATTTAAATTTTTTATAATTTTTATGAATTGGTCTTTACTTTATCTATCCTATTTATGAATATTGAATAATATGTGATATATACATTATACTATTATACATAAAAAATCTGTCAGTCTTCTGTTTAGATCACTATAGTTTTGGTTAGAATACAATTTATTTCAAAAGGATATAAGAAAATAGTATTAAAATTTAATCAGTATAGGTATGTACTGCTTATTGTGGTGACTGGTAAATAATTATTGTTATTGTATAATAAAATTCGTTTGTTTTTATTAAATTTTGTACAAACAATTTTGAGTTAGCTTGAAATTATTTGTACAGGTTGAATAATTAAAAATGTTTTAATACAAAACCAGCGTCTGTAATAGTGTTATAATGAGAAAATATATAGACTAAAAATAGTGATAAGAACTATTCTGTTTTCCAATGAGAGTATTAAGGGGCCTGCACGCGACCTGTTTTTTTGCTTAAAAACATGCCTTACAGGAAAAACTCTCACGCCTCGTAGATTGGTCCGATTTCCGTAATTTTTTTTTTGTTAGATAGAAAAAGACTTCTTACAGGGCGCATTGGACTTGGATTTTCAACATTATTTTTCTAAATCTTATGTTACAAGTTTGAATTTAATCAATTTTTAAAACTTTTTAGTTTTTGTATTATTTTTTGTTTTTAGCGACGTAATCAAAAATCGAAGTCCAATGCGCCCTGTAAAAAATATTCCTCTATCTAACAAAAAAAAAATTACGGAAATCGGACCAATCTACGAGGTGTGAGAGTTTTTCCTGTAAACTGTGTTTTGACCGATATAATACACCCTATCAACCCCCCCTAAATAGGTATTGGGTAGTAGATTAGTGGAAAAGTCTTATAATTGAGGTGGCAACTAAAATATAAAATTTAATTTTCAAATTTTATAGAATTGCGGAAAATTTGAAAAATCGCGAGCAGGCCCCTTAAACACCGTACCTATGTATAATAATTATTAATTAATAATAATATTTTCTATCATTTACCATAATATATTATGGGAGTTACATATTTTTTCTATACCATATAATTTAATGAATAAATATAAATGTAGTATTAATAATAAATTGTATTATTCACATGTATAACACTATAACGTATTACAATTCACAACCATATTATTTTGGAACGATACGTAGGCGACTATCCCTTTATATAGTGTCATGTGCTCTGTATTTGCACCTGCAATTATATAATATAATATAAGCTTAAGCTATATAGGTGTTATTTATATTAGGCTTATGTTGCAACATAATTATGACTAGTGGCGAGACCGTGTATTATACACGCATATAATTATACCACTCAACTGCATAAAGCACTTTTGTTTTAATATTTTTTTTCTCCGCCGTGGTTAATCTTATAATGATGTATTTAGCCCGTCAAGTTTTAATATGCCCATTGTTTATACTACGAATTATTTACTAACCTACAATATTAGTTCGTAGTTCATACCTCTATAAATCTTGTCATTCGATTAATGTTATATGTATCATTATGTATATTTATGCTATATTATATATTATTGTGTACATTATGTATAGTATAAATGTATAATATATATGTAGTATTTTGAGATTTTTACTCTGGTTTTTTAGTTTGTTGTTTGATTGGTGCGGTACCTATATGAGAAAATGATTATATTTTAGCTTAACGTCATCTTAGAGTTAGGATTTTTCGTTTAATCTAATCATTAAAATTATGATCTATCTAATTATATTATATTTAATACCAATAAATAACATTTAAAGAAAGTCTAAACCAGAAAAGGTAAATTATTCCTTTATTATTTGTAACATTTATCTGTAAGGATTTAATTTGTATTATAAACAGTGCTTTAAAATGTTCTGAATTAAAGTGATTCATAGTTTGATGGCAATCATAAACACTATAGTGTATACCTATTACCTATATAAGTTTATAACGTAGATTCCTATGGTAATAACAAAGTTACACCAAAATGTTTTTGTATGACAACAGGTGCCTATGCATTAAATATATATATTTTTTATGATATTTTGAATTTTAATAACATTTAGACATTTTATTTAATACTATTTATATATCGTGTTATAATTATTCACAGAACATTTCTTAAATATCTGTACACGATTTTTTTTATAAAACAATTTAATTTTGTAGGAGTTTCTTTACCCTTCAAACTCTGTATACATTTTAAACTTGACTCTTCGTTCGTTATCAAATGTAGAGATGTATTATATATATATATGATTCTTAGCTTTGAATTTTTTCAATACCTTACTATATTAAAGTGATACTTGTATAAGTTATATTTATTTGAAATAGATATACGTAAACCTCTTAGTGAAATTAAAACATAAAAAAATATAAAGCTACGTCACTGATAATATTTCATCTTTAAATTCGATAATAGGTCAATCAACTATAAAATATTGACCCAGAGACACCAATGTTGGTCCAACAAAAAGTATATATTTGCTTTAATGCTGGTATTATGATAAACAGATAATAATTAACAAGTCTATGTGTTACTCTCTATATGCTTCATATAAATTGGATTTACATACGTTCAAATATAACAAATTATTGAACTCAAACTAATGTTATAATTTTAACTACCTACCTATTTGGAACAATTTGTAGCTTAACCATTTGTTATTTATAATTGTTTAACGGTTACCTTTGGGACATATTATTCCATATTTGTTCAAAATTATTTTAATCATATTTTCACTTCAAACATTTATAAATGTTTGAAGAAAAATAGTCTTTTACACAAATTAATAAAAAAAAATGCAAATATTTTAACAACTAGATTAATACGAAGTAAAATCTGTACCAAATATTTAAAATTGCTAACTAAACATTACATTTTTCAATTAACTCGTAAAAATAAGTATTTGCACATACATTATAACCTTCCTTTAGTTTAAAATTCAAGGACGATTAATGTTTCAGATTTTCCAATAGATAATTATATAGTTTATTAAGTGTTCAAACAAGAAAACTTCTGATGTGTTATATACCTTATAGGTACCTACTATGAGCTAGGTGTACTATGTATCTTCTTATTGATTTCTAGGCATTAATGGCCATCATATAATATCGACACTAAATTCGTACGTCGAGAAATCATAAAATTGTTGTGATTTTTGGTGTGACGATGAGAGTACAGAATTTACAATAATTTAAACTCCATGTTGGATCAGTACTATATAATAATTTAACTATTTATAGGTATGAGTTTATACTGATTATACATAACTATAATATAAATCAAACAGTATAATATATTTTTCACTATTTGCAGGATTATTATGTTACCTAACCGAATATTGCATAATATTATGATATGTATTTAATACGATTCTTTTAGGCCAAATCTAATTTATTACATTTTTAATGTATCATAAAGATAGTAAATATAAAACTGATTGGTGTATAATTTAGATAGGTACCTACTTACCTACTATTAATAATTTCAAACCCTAACAATTTTGAATGAAAAATTAACCTAAGCAAATTATTTCTAATCAAATTATCAATTATGTTTACAGGACATGTCTTCTGGTGGTGAAGATTTTCAAAGTAGCCCAAATATGATGCCATCATCTGTGTCTTCAACAATTATGTTGAACAGCAATAGCAGTACAAACGATATGAACGGAGCTGCGACTGGTGAAAATAGTTGTGGAGGACTTTTAGTTATTAAACAAGAACCCAACATATTGCAAGATTATAAAAGCATATCGACCAACTACAGTAATAATACAACAGACGGATGTAATATGCTTCAAAAAGTACCTTCGCTTAGTGATATGTCCGATCCAGAAAATTCTTTGGGTAAGTAACTATAGTAAATATTATAATTATTGTTTTCACTAGATTTTTTTTATATTTGTGGTAATATGATTCACCTGCGGTGTATGATCATTGTTGGTATTGAAAATAGTATTATTAAATGGTCAATATTATTCCGGTTAGTAGTCGGTAGAAGTTATAATATATCCATAGCTATTTATTTCATTATTTTACGTACCAAACTATAAATACAATATACATAGTTAAATAGTTCATATAATAGTTTTAAGGTTAAAATTACAATTTATAAACCAAAACCACAGCCCAATACAAAAAAGTTCCCATGTGTACTTGAGTAATAGAAAATATAATCAAATCCTGGCTTTAGACAGAGCATATTATTTCCGATACCTATAAGTTAACTTTTTAATCAATGAGTAACTATATATAATATAGAAAGTAACGACGTGTTTCATATTTTTTTCTGTATTTAATCTTTGCCATTCTTTTTTATGACCTAATAAAACGAAAATTATAATGTATGAGTATTCCAGTTTTAAAGATATTGTCAGAGTCTAAATTGGGAAACATTATAGGTATATTTCATAAATGTATGTTGTATAAAGGGTTGCAGAATATATGCATTACTTACATTATGTAGTAGGTATATTTTAATATATTATATAGATAGGTAATTACTAATTTATAAAATTAGTGGGAGTCCGATATAATATTATCATGAAACATAAAGAGTAGGTACTTGTTACTCCCACGTCCTTTCATTCAAGACCTGTATAGTAATTGGGAGAGCGGACAATGTCTCCTCTATGTTACTGTTTGCCCCTCGAGCTAAGCAATTAATTCAATCATTTTTAAATAATATATCATAGTTTACAATTTATATCGTGTATGTAGGTTAGTATTTATTGTTAATAATTTTATACATTTTATCAGTCCCTTTGTCTACTCTACGTGCAATTTTAGGCTGGCTATATAGGTGCATCATACATGACAGAAATATTATGATATAGGTACTTACTGGGTGTTATTTCAATAATACTAATAACTAATATTACAATCTTTTCATTGCGTATAATGGCGTCAGTGGGTACTACGTAGATACTTGAATGCAGATTATTCCGCTTAAAGCGATTCTTCCAGAGGAATTAAAACAAAATTCCTAAACAATATCTCTAGAAATTCTTAAGTACAATATTGTAAAACGAATTTTTATAACGTATCTCTAAAACATATTATGTCAACATCAAAATTTGTTATCTTTTGGTTCACATGACCAGATATCTATGTGTATATAAATGTTTTATTAGTCTTCAATAATCATGTTTTTCTATTATATTAAAATAAGTCAGTTTCATCATGTGCTTGGAAATATTCTCATTTGTCATTATTTATTATTCTATTGTATACTCTAGTAGTATATACCTACCTAAGATAATATTATGTCATATTATCATTGAATAATTTGAGCAAGACATTCCAAACCTTTGAAACTTTGATAAAATTCTCAGTATATCGATGTACCTATGTTATATTGTTATGCAATAAAAGTATACAAAATAAAAATAAACGATTTTAAGTAGGTATAGTGATTCATATTTAAATATTTACACTAATTAACTATATGAAAAGTATATACTTCAATCCACTTCATTACCTATCTAAATATTGCAGGATACACCTACCAAACTGTTTGTTCAACAGATACAAATTATAGTTATGCGGATCGCTGTTTATTATCCATATCGTTAATAATATTTACACAGAAAAATTGTTTTGTTCTTTCGAAACGGTTATGAGGGAATGGAGCGATTAGGAGTGGAGGAGCGTTTCAAACGTTACAATTAATTAAAATCACAATTGAAAACGGTCAAATAACGAGTAGAATAATACACAGCTGTAGTCAAACGTCAACGTTTAAAAAGAAAATGTTAAAACACAAATAAAAATTGTAACAATATAAAATCGTAAAAAATCGATTATCCCAATGTGCGTGCTATTCTTTAAATGTTATCAAAACATATCAACGATGAATACAACAATGACACTTATAACGCTCATTAATATAATGTAAATAAGAGAACTCCCGCTATTTGAGGGGTTTGATATAGGCAATTTCAATTAAATGTTGACAAAATTAAAATTATAAATCTTAAGTACATTTTAATACTTTTTCGAAGAACCCGACTTGCAAGTTACAAGTGGTCAGTACGATTGTTGATTGTTGCATGTAATTAGGTACAATGTAATAAAAAAAAAAGTTTCTCTCAAATAAACCAATATACCTAAATTACCTACTATAAAAAAAATACAATATATGCATTATCGTAGACTCGTAGCATTTTATTTTTGTGTTGATGTTTACAAAAGAAATTATCATTGTTTTAAAATTCGTTATTTTTATATTTATCTAAATGTTGTATACATTTTTTTACAATAATGATGTCAATCAAATAAGAAAAACCACACACTGGAAATATTGTCTCCTGTAATGTGTATAAATTTGGCTTTTCATATATGACTGCAGCCTTAATATTTATTTTTGAGTGAAACAGTTTTGACAAATGATTTATGGGTGTGTGTGTAACGTCCTCATCACAAAATTACATCAATGACGGCACATGTTGCTTCGAAATCAAAGCCGAATGCGTTTCATTGTGTTCTCACGAAAGGTTGAGATAAGAAATCTCACAGACGTCTTGTCAATATAATAGGTATAACATTATAATTTACAATATGTAAACTGTATTATAAAGACATATAAAACGTGTTGAATTTACCACACTCTTGCCGTGTTCATAGTAGTTCTTAATCATTTACATGTGTCATGTGTATTGACAAATGACAGTCTATAGATCGATTATTATTATTTTTTTTTTTACTCGAAAAACGACTAATGTTCGTATAATCGTGTCTACTTTTGAATATGGTGGAAAAACTAAGACTTGCGAAACGGCCATCGGCCATTATTAAAATATATTATAATATTATATTATAGATGATAATATACCTGCGTGTGGCAGTGTATATGGAAATTAGCCGTACAAAATTAACCCAACCTGATGGTCCGAAGACTTACGCCATAGGTCAAAATACCGTAACGAGCGAATGAGTTGCATTATAGTGTCGGCCGTACGCATCATTCGCGGTCGTTTGCCATGTTCGCGCGACGGGTTTCTAAATCCACGATTAACCTACCTACGTAAAATCAAAATTTCAATATTATAATATCGCATTAAAAACGCCATTTATATTATTATTCGGGTTCGTTCTCGGCGGGCATCGCGACGACACGGTGCTGCCATCTATCAGACGTCGCGTCACCCGTGCGCACAACGCTGCCTGTCGGATTGTCTTTCGTCCGTTACTCGGTATCCGGTTTAACGTTACGCTTTTACAACGCAGATGGCGCCCGTCTGCTCATGTCCGGTAATCGGTCCTCGCGATATTTTACATATTGGTATAATATTACACCATAATTATTATACCTATCTAGTATTATTCTTTTTTGTCCCCGCAACCCGGTAACGGGTATACCACCATAATACCGTATTATACCGGTGGTTTACCAAACTCGTAACGATTCGGCCGAAAGACTACCGCCGGACGACCGGCAATATTGGCCCCGACGTCATCCCTCCGACCGATGATCACACCGTCGCGCGCCGGTGTCCGTCCTAGAGATTTTTCGATTACAGACATTTATAATTATTCTCCAATATTATATGGGTACGTACCAGCTACCTCTGTATACAATAACGATTTTAGGTATAACACATTGTCGTGCGATGCGCTCATTGACATGCATAATGGCAGCGACCGACTATATAATAATAATAATATAGTGACTAACCATATAATAATATAATAGTATACGGGGCTTGTGCAGATATAATATTCACTAATAGTGACGTGCTGAGAATAACGACGGATAGTGTTTTTATATTGTTATTGACCATTTCCTGTCGGGGCTACGTAATAAATGTATAGGCAACATGTTTGTGTACCCGGGCAGCGACTTTACAATACACGGAGACCAGCGTTCGTGCCTAAACCTTCGTATTGAAATTTATGAACTGTTGTCCCAATATGAAGGCATATTATTATATTATATTATATTATTATTATTATTATACCGATCGACGATTGTTGTTATTAATGACAAATGTACGTCGACGAAAATTAATGTTATATGTGTATCTAGACGTCTATAGTGTATAATATTCTAAACAAAAACCAGTCGGGGTGAATGTATATTGTATAATATATTTTGTATACAATATAGATACCGATAGTGTGTATTATATTATATCATATTATATATATAATAATATTACAATAAAAACTAGTCGATGAATGCTTATTGTACCTATATTATAATAATATATACATCGATTAAATATAATATACTTTGTGATAACCTTTTCACTTGAAAAAGACCCCAGTCGGGCTACAGACATAGTTGATAATTCAAATTTACTTACATGATATAATCAGAATAAAGACTATATAGACGGCGACAATATTTCTGTGTCGTAGGTAGTGTTTTTATTTTATATTTTTTGATATCTTTAACATAAAAAAGTTACTCTAGTTTAAATAACTAAAACATGTTTAAAACAATAATAACTTTTTTTGTATAAGTAATGTCAATAAAACCTCCGCGAGACAGCTAATATTGTCTTTATTATCATGTATAAATATTTGTTTTTTTTTTAAAACTCTAACTGTATAGTGTAAATAGTTTTTCACTGGACTCTATTTTTCTATAGGTTTAGCCGTATATTGAATTTCGTAATTATTATTTAGCAAGGGCTAACACGAGACCACTTGTAAGTTAAATACTTTGAAGTAGTATTTAAATATATTAAAATTTATATTTTCGTCAACATCTCATAAATATTGCCGATATTAAACCCCTTAAAAAGCGAGCGTTTGTGGTGGCGTCTTCTTAGGATGTCCTGATGATTTATTATAACGGTAAATTAGGTATATTGTGTACTTCAATGTGTATTTACTATTTA